TGCTTTATCTTTGGGGTTGTAGGATCCACATGTCAATTTTCATTGCAGGTGAAACCATCTATGAATGAAAGTATGCTACTGAAAGACACATCTTCTCTAATGGGGCCAAACATGCCTGTCATGAAAGGTGAAAACAAAGAGCGTTGTGCATCAGTGAAGGAACAGAAAACAGAGGCTGTAAATGGTCCAGATTTGGGTCTGTAGTGAGGCTCATATGAGCCAGGTGGGAACATGATGACCAGAGTAGGGTTCTTGACTAAGACCAGGGCAAAAGGATGGGAAGGGCATGGTGTGGGACAGTCAGAGGAACCTTGTTTCATTATTTCAAAAGTCTAAGAAAGTGGAAAAATGCTATTTGCTCTTTCACTCATTCATTGAAGCCACATACTCCTGTCCTCCTTCATGGGGGCTGTTCAATGCAAAACATCTTATCAGATAATAGTCTCAAAAATTGATCGTTATTTATTTTATAAAGACTTCATGTTTCTCTTGTTTCTTTGTTCTTATTTGTTGCTGTTTTTGAAACTGGAAATCATGATTCTCTTGCCTCAGAGAGATAACTCCTGAGTATCAGGAATTATAAACATATACCACCACGCCCAACTAAGACTTCATTATGTTAATATTTTAAAACAATTTTGTGTACATGTTTGAAAGCGAGAAGGACACGTGTATTGAGATGCCAGAAGCCAATATGACATCTTCCTCATACACTCAGGAACTTATTTTTTGAGACAGGGTCTCAGACTAAACGTGGGCTGACCAGTTTGGCTAGATCAGAAACCAGCTGCTTCTAGGAATCCTCTTGTCTCTACAGCCTTAGTGCTGGGATTATAGGTACATGCCCCATGCCAGGAATTTCTAAATGTGGTGTCTGGGGAGGATCAAGTCTAGGGCTTGTACTCAAAGCCCTTTACCAACTAGGTCATCTCATCCTTCAAAACCAAGACCAGTGTTAAGTTTACAGTCAAATGGAGAAAGGGAGATTTTGAGACGTCAGCTGTCCCCACTTACCTTTCACCCCCACTCCCATCCCTCACCTTGCTCCCTATGTAGCCTCTCCCATGATCAATGTCTTCTGCCTGAACGGCACATTTGTTTCAGTCCACTCAGTCCCTGATCACTGTTCTATCACCTGAGGCCTCTCCTCTTAGGGGTCAGCCCCAGTGTTGCACAATTTACAGGCTTGGGCAACCATAGGTGGGCATCCTGTTTCCTACCTCCTCATCCCTCTCTTCCCTGACTTACGGCAAACACCAACCTCTCTGCTATCTCTAAACTGTCACCAAGTATGCATTTAAGGTCCTCCATGTCTTTTCATAGCTTTATCTCAGTTTTATTTTTAGGGCAGAATAGTATTTCATTGACTGGATGGTTTGATTTCTCACCTACCAAAGGATAACTGAATCGCTCACAGGTTTTGGTAATGGTGAGTAAAGCTGCTTCTATAAACCACCCTGCGCAGATTCTGCGCAGATACACGTTTTAATTCCTCCGGGTAAGTACTAACTACAGGATTGTTCTTTATCAGGTTAAGTAAATTCCCCCCTTTATTTCTGGTTTACTGAGAGTTTTCATTTTGAATGGGTATTGAATATTTTTCAAATGGTTATTGATATGACACGTTTTTTTTTCCTTAATGTGTTAATGTAAAGAATTACCCTCATTGAGTTTCAAATGTTAAACCAGCCTTGCATGGCAAAAACAAATCCCACCAAGTCAGGATGCTACACTGCCTGGTGAGATATATTTGATAAATTTTCATTTATTTTCATGTCTATGTTCATGAGAGTTATTGTTCTGTTGTTTGTTTGGTTTGGTTTGGTTTTTCGAAAAAGGGTTTCTCTGTGTAGCCTTCGCTGTCCTGGACTCAATTTGTGTGTAGACCAGACTGGCTTCTATCTCACAGAGATCTACCTGCCTCTGCTTCTTTGAGTGCTGGGATCAAAGGTGTGCACCACCACGCCTGGCTTGAGTTATTGTTCTGTAGCTCTCCTGTTCTGGTGATATTTTTATCTGATTTTGATATTAGGTGCTGTTAACCTGACATTCACTGAGTGGGTCTGTGTTCTCTGCTTCCGTATTACAGGACAGACTGGGAATGTTGCTCTAATTCCTTAACTGGTGAACTTGGTACTTTTCGCATGACAGTTTACTTACAATTATTGAGTGGGTGGGTCTCCTCAGTAAGTAAGGACTGTTTTCTTTTGTGTGTTTTGATAGATTGTGTCTTTCTTACACTTGGTACATTTTATGTGAGAGATTGTAGGTGTTGAATCTGCAGTAATCCTTTCTTTCATTTGTGATATTTGTGGTATGGGTCCTATTTCTTACTTCCTCACTTAGCCTGGTTAGAGGGTTATTGTTGCTTTTTGTTTGCTTGCTTTTTTGTTTTTATCATTGTGAAGAATCAGTTTTTGCTTTTATTAGTTTTCCTTTTTGATGTCCTGTTTTCATCTTTCTTTCCCTATGTAATTTATTTTCTTCTCAGTTTGGATTTAATTTGTTCTCTAGTTTCCCAATACAGAAGCCTAGATAGTGGCTTTTGATCTTTCTTTTCTAATAAATGAACACTTCTACACACTTATTCTAAGTACTGCTTCATTTCATCTTACACATTTTTTTTTTCCGAGACAGGGTTTCTCTGTGTAGCCTTGGCTGTCCTGGACTCACTTTGTAGAGCAGGCTGACCTACAACTCCCAGAGATCTGCCCCAGAAGGAGGCTGTGTGGCCAAGTATTGAGATTCTCTGTATTTGCCTGACTCCCAAGGGTTCACTTCTCTTAGAGAGCTCAGGGCAGCTGATCCTTGAGTTTGTTCAGCTGCAGAGAAGCCCCTGGTCTGTGCAACCAGAGACTATGGAATGTTTTTGTTTTTCTTTTTTTCCATTAAAAGACTTTACAGCAGGTTGAACCTTCACCTTCTGGTCTGACTCTCTAGATATGTATTTTATATTCTCTACAGTCAAAGGATAAAGATAAGAGAATAAACTTTTAGAAAGGGTTTTCTCATCTCAGAGTGCATGATGATACACTCATCTGTTCACAGTGTTAAGGCAAAATGCTCTCACAGGGTGGAACAGTCACCTATTTCCCTCCTGGCTGCCCAGCACTTGAATTTGTTTGCTGGTCCTGGCCCAGCTATCTATCCAATATGGCAGAACCTAAATCTGAAATAAACACTGGTACCGTCAAGAGGTACTGAAACCTTTCTGGTGAGATATAGGTGTCAGAACACTGGAAGCCATTTCAATCCAGATGTAAAGTCGGGTCTCTGAAAGCCACCTCTGACTCAACCAGAAAAGCCCTCTCTACAATGGGACTTATGGACCTCATAACTCTTTGTTTCCTGCTGTTTGTACATCGCTGATCAAAAACCCATGAAAGATAAGAACGATAAATAAGAGCAGTCTGCAGAGGAGAGGACCTTTTTAAAGGTCATTTTAAATGAAAACAAAAATCCATTGTCTCTTTTCTAATAGAAAGCTCTGACACTTCATTGAGAACAAAACATTACACCAATTCTCCTCAACTGGTAACATCTGCAAAAGGTCAAAGAATAAAGCAAACGAGTGTTTAGCTTAGAAGAGGCCAAGAGAGAAACTGTGAAATCTGAGCAGCTGTGAGGGGAATGTTTATTTATTTGTTTGTTTGTTTGTTTGTTTTTCATGTGCATTAGCGTTTTGACTGTATGGGGGTGTTGGATCCCCTGGAACTGGAGTCACAGGCAACTGTGTGCTGGGAACTGAACTCTGTCCTCTGAAAGAGCAGCCAGTGCTCCTAACCACTAAGCCATCTCTGCAGCCCCAAGGGGAATTTCTTAATTGTTTGGATGAGCTTCCCTCACATTGAGAACATGTATCTCCATATTTTCAACTGTTAAAGCAGTGCCTGGCAGAGAGCTAAGAGCTGGCAGGATTCTGGTATTGTAGTTTCTATGGCCCATCACTGGCTTTCTATTTGTAAATGCTTCCCCTTCCTCACCTGCCAACACAGGTGAGATGGACTGGAATGTTGCTTTATGTATAATAAAGAGCTGGTGGCCCAGGGCTGGGGCAAAAAGTATAGCGATCAGGACTTCTAGGCAGAGAGAAGAGATGGGCAGACAGAGAGACAGAGAGACATGGAAGAGAACAGAAAGAATAGGATGGAGCTGTAAGCAGGTAGTCAGAACCAAGTGGGGAGAGGAGATGGCGGAGAAGTTAGGATAAGTTTAGATAAACTAGCTGAGAGACTGCTCCAGCTAAAGGCCAGCAGCTTTAAATTATATAGAAGTCTTACTCAAACTGCAAGTGGTTTTGCAAAAGCCCCGAAATACTTAATGAGCAGGATTTAAAATGTACAATTTAAAGTGCTCTCTGGAGTGCAGACACTTAGAGCACTAAGATTGAAACACTTGCTTCCTTCAGTACCCTGGGTTTCCTCATCACATCCCTACTCAGAACATGTCGACTGGTAGTGATAACATTTAGTTTAAGAAAAAGAAGGCCAGGCTGGGTGGTGGTGGTGTACACCTTTAATCCCAGCACTTGGGAGGCAGAGGTAGACAGATCTCTGTGAGTCTGAGGCCAGCCTGGTCTACAGAGCGAGTTCCAGGACAGCCATGGCTACACAGAGAAGCCTGTCTGAAAAAAGAAAGAAAAGGAAGGCCCCCTGAAACAGTCGGTATTTTAATTTCATTATTTCACCCTTAGTTATTTATGCTTTACTTTTAAGCTTTAAGTAAAGTACTGGTTCTTTGCGAGTAATCCCCCACACATTCCATCGCTGAAACACTAAGTTATACACACCAACGCTACTTGTAGAATTCTGGTATTAGAATCTACTTATCTCAAAAAGATGCAGGGATCAGAGAGGAATTCTATGATACCTTGCTGACGTGCCATAGTGTGTCAAGAATTCTGTCATGTCACCCAAAGTGCTGCTAAGAGTCAATGAAAAGAATCTGGTTTAAAGAAATGCAATTTCAAATACAAGTACAACTGTGTACTTGATATGTACCTTGGACAACTCCATGCCAGGTCCACACTGTTTGCAGAGGACACAGTTTCCAGACCGATCCTTGAATTCTTGCTGCCGGCAGTCTCCGGTTTCACAGATCACTTTACATGACTGAAAGAAAACAAAACAAAACGTTTCCCCGCAGGTTACCTCCAGGCAGAAGAGGAATGGCGTCTGCACTGTACTGACATACACGGAGAGTAAGAACTGCCTAGGAGTGGCACTCACTTAATTTTCGCTTTAAGAAGAAATAGCACTTTCTCAGTGAGGCCCTGGGACAAGTAAGTCTTTAACTCAAATCCTTCCCACCCCATGAAGTGTTCATTCATCCCATAACCAGGACCCCTGGTCCTAGACTGAATGGCAGTTCCCATCTGTTTCCTCTTCTCATTATTCACATGATACGTGACAAACTTTCAGGGTTTCTGCTACCTGAAAGTTGCTGAACTAAAACCAACCAAACTTTTATGATTGTAAATGAATAGAAACATAATCAACTCCAACAACGCAAATGCAGGGGAGATGGACTCCCACCACCACAAACACTTGGGATTATACTTTAGACATTCCTGCATTTGACTTTTAAAAAGTTGTTGTTGTTGTTCACTGATTGGATCTCAAGATGTAGTTCAGGCTGGCTTCAACCTCCTGACCCTTCCGCCTCCTCTCCCCAGGAACTGCCACCTACCTAGACAAAAAGTCTAGGTGCAGAACCTTCACAGAGAAAGCCTCCTTAAGAACTCCCATCTGGCTCACAACCTCCCGAGGATGGAGATGACAAGCTCTGAACTCTTCCGAACAGAGTGCTTCACAAACCTGAACTCATGAACTCACACCCCATCTGATTACCATCCAGCATTTCCTAGCACTGAACAAAGCGCTTTGGCTCAGAGCACAGACTTTAGCTAGAAAAATTATTCTGAGATTAAACAAAAAAGTAATAACTAAAAGTTACCCCAAATTAATTAGCTGCATTAATTTAGTGCTATCTCTCTACTAAAAACAAGTTCATGTTATTCCTGTCATCCTTTAAATTTGCTTTAAAATGTCTTACATGTATTTGCTTGTTGACTTGTTGACTTATTTGTGTGTGTGGTGCACATGCAACAGCACTCCCGGGGAGGTCAGAGGACAACTTGTGAAAGGCAGTTCTCTCTGTCCCCCAGCCATCAGACTTGATGGCAAGTGCTCTTACCTACTGGGCCATCTCGCTGGCCCTTACCTACTTATTAACAGACAACATTCTATTAAAACTATTAGTAATGGGCTGGGAACGTAACTCAATAGAGAGCTTGCCTAGTCCTGGGTTCAATCCTCAGCACTGTATAAACCCTATGCAGTGGAGGTGAATACATGAAATCCCAGCATTCAGGGGGTGGAGAAAGGAGAAAAGAAAAATGCTTTTTAAGGTTGATTTATTTACTATACATACAATGTATATTTGCATGTATACCCGCACACCAGAAGAGGGCACCAGATTTCATTTTACATGGTTGTGAGCCACCATTTGGCTACTGGGAATTGAACTAGACCTCTGGAAGGGCAGCCAGTGCTCTTAACCTCTGAGCCATCTCTCAAGCCTGAAAAAACGCTTTTTAAATAATCTCATAAACAGAATATAGTATTTATACTATTTATTTTTGGGATTTTTTGGTGTTTGTTTGTCAAAAGATCTTGCTACACAGCCCAGACTGGTCTTGATTTTGCAACCTTCTTGCCTCAGCCTCAAGTGATGACGTTAGGTCTGTGTCACCATACCTATAACATGGGACCATGACCTGAATTCTTTCTCTATATTCTTGTGAAAGAAGGAAGAGTGTACTTACCAAATAGCCTAGGAAAAGCATGGTGGTGAAGAGCACCCTCCCTTGTTCAAGCAGGACCTTGAAAGCCATTGCTCTCATCAGACGTGTTTATCCCTGAAGAATGTAAGTCAGAGACAAAAAGGAAGACACAGTTAACATTCAGAGACTTGGGGACCACTCTCTATCAAAGACCAGCTTCGACAGTCACCGGGACACTGAGGCAGGGCATAGATCCGGCTGCTGGCTGGTGACCCAACAGACTTTTTCTGAAGTTAACTTTCCAGGCCGGAACTGATCGTTACCAACCATGGCTCCCACTGCTAGCAGCTAACTGAGGGTCCAGAAATTAACTATTCTTGGCAGAGGGCCAATGCTGGTAACTTCCGGGTGTGGGCCTACATCTACTACAGTTAGCAGGGGCTAGGGGTGATAGCTCCTAGGGGGTGCTTCCCGCTGGTAGTGGCAAAGCATCTAAAAAAGAAAGAAAAGAAGGAGAGAAAAGGACATGCACACACTCTGACACTTGATGAAGACAGACTCCAGCAGGCAAGTTCCAACAAGCTTCTTTCAAGCTTCTCTTACTTTATACGTATACATACACATGCACACACATACGTACATACGTACAGACACATTCACACATTGGGTGGATGAAACGGATTCCAACCCAACCTTATACACATATATGTCTTGGCGGTTGGAACAAACTCTGAAGAGCATGTTCCAACCATGATTTTATTCTTTTTCCTACAGCTTATATATCCCAGCAAAATCTTTTCAGCAGTAAAAAAAGTGAAAATATGGTTACATTTTATTTTTCTTTTAAGTAAACAATTACAATGAGTTTAGTAATGTGGCCACCAGAAGGCTCTGAATGTGACTCGTACTTTAAAAGAATCACTTTTACTTGACTTTATTTATGTGTACGGGTATTTTGCCTGCATAGATGTCTCTATACCACAGGCATGCATGGTACCCAAGGAAGCCAGAAGAGGGTGTTGGATCCCCTAGGACTGGAGTTACAAATGCTTATGAGCTACCATGTAGGTGCTGGGAATTGAACCCAGATCCTCTGGAAGATCAGCCAGTGTCCTTGAGTGCTGAGCCATCTCTCTAATCTAAGAGAACCACTTCTTAAAAAAAAGACACGCTAGGCCGGGAGAGATGGTTCCATGTGTAAAATGATTTGCTACCAAGCGTGAGGACCTGAGTTCCGGCTCCAGGCCCCAAGAACCAACTTTTACAGTTGTCCTCAGACTGCGCTTGCGGCACTCCCACATGTAACACATTCCCACATGGAATACATGCCTGTGCACTCCCATATGTAATACAATTCTGTAAAATTTGCTTACCTATACAATACATGCAGAACTCCTACTGGCTCTGGACTCCCATCTTACACTGGGCTTTATTTTCGTTGCTACTTCATAACTGTAATTTTGCTACTGTTATGATTATAATGTAAATATCTGTTTTCTAATGGTCTTAGGTGACCCCTGTGAAAGAGTCAGTCAACCCCTGAAGGGTCAGGACCCACACAGATTGAGAACCACTGTTCCATAAGGTTGAGTACTATCATTCTTTAGAGATGTGGAAACCGAAGGTCAGAGACAGCTAAGTAACCTGCTCCAGGCCCCTCTCTGTCAGAGACAGAGAGAGATGCCAGCCAAGCGGGGCAGTTCTGGGGCAATGCGAAGCCCTCTCTGAGTGCAAACCCGGCACAGATCTGAGCATCGTCGCCTCCTCCCAGGAACTAAGGCTGGGCTCGAGTGAATCCTCTGCACAACAGAGTGACGATGGGTGACCAAGAAGAAGCTTTCATCTTAAAACTTCTAAATGTCACTTAAACAAGGGATGCAATGAGCCATCTCCCCAGCCCTCCCATCAGGTGTTTGTTTTCTATTTATTTTGAGATAAGGTTGTGCTCAATTGTTCCAGGCATGTCTTGAAGGGTTTTGAATTAGTTTCCTCTTGCCTCGGTCTCCTAAACAGTTGGGATGAGAGGTCTGCTTCAACCTAGCCCAGGTCTGGATCTACTTCAACCAATGATGGCTACTGTGATGGAGAGCCTCACAGAGCAGCAGTGTGAATGAGAACAAGCCCCTCAGCCTGTGGGAAGCCATAGTTCCTGCAGGCCAAACATCCCAGCAAGACTAGGGAGTCCTCCAGCACAGTGGGAGAATTTCTAGAATGTAGAAACTGCTATGAAGTATTAGCAAGGGCCGTCCATCATGTTATGCTGTTGAAATTTTTTTTTAATTCTTTGAGACTTTCATGCATGCATACAATGCATTTTGATCATATTTCCACTCCAAGATTCACTCCCACCCTCCACTTCTCCCTACTTTGTGCCTTTTTAAAAAGAATCTACTGAATCTAATTTGTGCTACCCATGTACTAATGGGTACACACTGCATCATGGACCCGCCCTTAAAGAAAACCTCCTCTCCCTCCTCCAGAAATCATTAGCTGTCAGTGGGTCCTCAGTTAGGGGTCAGGGTCAGTGAGTCAGGGGTCAGTGAGGGACTCACCAGGCTATGATGTTGAATGGCTTGATCTTGTGCAGCTCCTGCACACACAGCACAGCTGCTGTGAGTTCATGAGCATCGCAGACCTGTCATGTCCACAAGACCCTCTTCCAGCCCAGTCCTCACTGGCCTCTGGCTCTTACAACCTTTCCATAGTGTCTCCTTTGATGGTCTCTGAGACTTGTGGGAAGGTAGGTGACACAGGTACCCCAAATGTGGCTGAAAACGCCATAGTTATCCTCTAGACTTTGGCTGGAAAATTAACAATTTCTGTGTTAACTGCCAGCTACTGCACAAAGAAGCTTCCCCAGTGAGGTCTGGGAGCTGTATTGATCTATACACTGATATACACCTACAGATATGACTATGTAGGGCTGTTTGCTACTATGTTGACTTAGAATATGAATAGTACTAACTTTTTAACCTCTTGGGCCTATGAGCTCGCCATACAGCACTTGGCATGCATTTCATATTGTAGAGCAGGCCTTATGTGTAATTTTAACAGTTGCTGGTTATCCCCATAACAGCTAGGCCACTCTTACACCCATGGACATATCTTTTTTTTTTTTTTTTTTTTTGAGACAGGGTTTTTCTGTGTAGCCCTAGCTGTCCTGGAACTCTCTCTATAGATCAGGCTGGCCTCAAACTCATCTGCCTCTGCCTCCCGAGTGCTGAGAATAAAGGTGTGCACCACCACACCCAGCCCAAGGACGTATCTTGTCACACCAGTTGTTACTGGAGTTCATTGGGCTCCCAGCTGGATAAGACCTTCCACAACTATGAAAGCTAACCATCAGGAAGGAAGTTTCCTGGTCAGTATCTACTTGATTTCTCCATGTCCTGTGACCAAAATATATTGTATCTTCATCATTTGTGTCTTTACATCAAGTTCTGGCAAGCAGCTAAGAGCAACAGAAATAGCAAGTTTTGTCTGAGGGTCTCCAGGACACCCTCAACCAACAGCTAAATGAAGTTACCCTATACCAGGCAGTGGGCTTTTTATTTGGCAACATCCTGCTTCCAGGATGCATGTTACCACTTGTGTAGGTTAACTCCAATTAAACTCGTGTGTGTGTGTGTGTGTGTGTGTGTGTGTGTGTGTGTGTGTGTGTGTGTAGAAAGCTTATACAATAGTAGATTTCCATATGGCTTTTTCAAACATCCGTGATATTAGTTACTTTCACCCAACTCCCTCCCTTCCCTCTTTTCCACTTAAACATCCCTTCCCATTACTTCCCTTTCCTCTTCAGGTTACCTATGGTCTCCTCCCTCATACTGAGCATCAAATAACCTTACATGGGAGAAAAATCCTTGAAGACCACTGTAGGATATCACAGTGACCCCAGGGAAGCAGGGCCTTAGTGTAGCCTGTGGAGAGCAAGACCTGGTCCACTGTCTGAACCAAGCTCTCACAAGGCCAAGTCCTGGGTTTATAAGAAGCACAGTACTCTTTCCTTGCTTTTTAAGTAGGTATCAATCACCAAACAATGGGAGAGAAAGCCAAAAGTCAAGAGTCAAAACTACTAGAACTGATGATTGTCAAGTCAAATTTCTGTCTTGTGACCCTATGCAAATCTTAGACATTCTGTCATGTCACTGTAGACTTGAGTCATGTGTGGCTGCATATAATCACCTCTGTTATTACAGAAAGGGGAATTGCATCAACAAGGCTGTTGACAAGTATATAATGAAAGAGCAAATTTAATCATTTTTCTGTTCAACCCAGTTTCAGCAAAGAGTTATGGGGTGCCTTGGGTGGGGACGATACTAACAAGGTATATTTGGAAGCAACTCATGGGTCAGCAGGCACCATTCTACATGGCTTTTACATCCTGGCCCAGGAGAACTTTAGAAACCAACAGTTTCAATGGTGGAGTGTTATGAGTGTGACCATGAATTTCTTGGAATAAAATGAGATTCTTTATGAAATTCTTTGGCATTCGTTAAAAAAATAAAAAACATAATATTTAGTGTCAACCATGTTTAAAATAAAACAAAACAAAGGCAATAAAAAGGCTATTTGCATAGGGCTGAAGAGATGGCTCAGTGGTTAAGAGCATTGTCTGCTCTTCCAAAGGACCCAGGTTCAATATCCAGCACCCACATGGCAGCTCACAACTGTCTGTAATGCTGACTCCAAGGGATCTGACACCTTCACACTAATGCACATAAAAATAAAATTAAATAAATATTTTTTTTTAAAAAAAAAGGCTATTTGTGATATTGTTTTAAAACTCTAGCAAGCAGGGTTGGGCTCAAAGACAGAAAATATGCATTTATAGTTCAAGATTCTATGGAGTTGGCACTAATTCATCAAGCCCCAGAAACACAAATGACTGTGCTTCTGTATAATGGCCTCTAAGTCTGGAGATTTTGTAGTTCCTGCCCCAGCCTGATGTCCAGAGGTCTGGAACTGTGAATCCAGACTGGGCACCCTGGCATGGTGTACCCAGAACTTCACCCCCATTGTCCATTAAGTCCACTTATGTTTTATATTCACTTTAGCCAGATAGCCTGAAGATCATTTATTCACATTTTAAGTGTGGGTTTTGTTTGTTTGGTTTTGTTTGAGACACAGTCTCATTA